AAGGGTTATTGGGCAAGTATCAGAGTTCATTACCGATAGCCGGGGGCTTATGACATTTCAGGGTCGGATTTGGGTACCGTTTGTGGGTGGAACGCATACCATTTTGATGCAGGAGGCGCATCGATCGAGGTTCTCGATCCATCCCGGGGCCACTAAGATGTATTTGGCCCCGAAGAAGGAGTATTGGTGGCCCTGTATGAAGAGGGATGTCGCATGGTTTGTAGAGAGATGCTTGACCTGTCGCAGGGTTAAGGCCGAGCACCAGAGACCGCATGGTAAGTTGCAGCCGTTAGAGGTTCCTGAGTGGAAGTGGGAACAGAATACTATGGATTTTATCACCAATTTACCGACGACTGCAAGGGGTGTCGATGCAATTTGGGTGATTGTAGACAGGTTGACGAAGAGCGTTCACTTCCTTGCTATTAGTGAGAGCTCTTCTGCGGAGAAGCTAGCAGAGTTGTACGTGAGAGAGGTGGTATCGCAGCATGGAGTACCGGTCTCGATTGTTTCAGATCGAGATGTGCGTTTCACTTCCAGGTTCTAGAAGAAATTTCATGAGGAATTGGGTACGAGGTTGCATTTTAGTACAGCATACGACCCACAGACTGACGGACAGAGCGAACGGACGATTCAGACGCTTGAGGACATGCTTCGGGCATGTGTGCTGGATTTTGGCGGGAGTTGGGACACGTATTTTCCTTGGCTGAGCTTTCTTATAACATCAACCATCATTCGAACATTAGTATGCCACCCTTTGAGCTGTTGTATGGAAGGAGATGTCGGACTCCCATTTGCTGCAGTGAGGTACGGCAACGTGTGATGGGTAGTAGAGAGATAGTGCTTTAGACGACAGAGCAGATACAGCAGGTTAGACAGAGGTTATTGACCGCTCAGAGTCACCAGAAGAGTTACTCGGATAAGCGTCGGTCGGAGCTTGAGTTTCAAGTCGGGGATTTTGTGCTCCTGAAGGTGTCTCCTTGGAAAGGAGTGATCCGTTTTAGGAAGAGGGGCAAGTTAGGGCCCAAATATATTGGGTCGTTTAGGGTGATCGTGAGGGTGGGTAGAGTAGCATATCGTTTGGAGTTACTTGCAGAGTTGGACCAGATTCATGATACCTTCCACGTGTCGTAGCTGAGGAAGTGTATAGCCGACGAGTCGGCAGTAGTACCATTAGAGGATATCCAGGTGGATGCGAGTCTGAATTATGCGGAAAAGCCGATCGCAATCTTGGATCGGAAGATCAAGGTTCTGAGGAACAAAGAAGTGCCCCTGGTGCAGGTCCAGTGGCAACATCGGAGGGGGTTCGAGCTGACTTGGGAACCGGAGAGCGAGATGCGTGAGCAACATCCCGAGTAGTTTGCGGAATGAGACTTCAAGGACGAATTCTGATTCTAGTGGGGGAGAATTGTAACATCCGGAGTCCCAGGCATCTTACTTATGGTTTAATATTGAGTTTTTTGGAGAGAGACTCAGCGAGTAGGCGCTCAGACTCGCCGAGTAGGAGTGCGGATGGTCAGACTGATTTAATGGAGGAATTGTTGAGTCCATTCGTGGACTCGGCGAGTCCATGCTATTTAATGAAACCCTAATCCCCGGGTTTTGATAACTATTTAAAGGCCCTTATGGCCTTCATTTGTGGCTACCAGTTGATAGAGAGAAACACCAGAGTGTGAACGTTTTGAGAGAGAGAGAGAGGCTACTAGAAAAATAGCCTTTTATGACGCTCATTGCAGGTCGTAAAACGCTCAGATGGCGCGCAAATTCGTGTCAAGGAAGGCCCTGTCATAAAGAGAGACGACGCGCATTTACAACATGCATTTACGACGCCCAGTTATGACACGCAATGCGTATCAAGGAAGGCCCTATCATAAAGGAATACGACACGCATTTGTGTGTCGTAACCTTACAACGCGCTTGTTTATGACATGCAACGCGTATCAAGGAAGCCCTTGTCATAAATGAAGATGACGCGCATTTGCATGTCATAAACTTCAGTAACCATTTACGATATGCATTTACTACGCGTCTTTACGATACTCATTTACACATAATACAAAATTTTGTAAACAAATATATACTAAAACAATCAATTTCATCCAATAACATCATGTCAAAAAATTGTAATACATTGATATTAATGGGATCTAATTCTACATTGTTACTAAGAGGTTTTGCCTAACTATATAACCTAATACTATATTGCATATCAAGGGACACCTTCTGCAAGTTGGTTGATGTATAATGTGAGATCTTTATTCCAAGTTGGTTCCTTTGTCCTGATAAAAAAAAAACATTTAAAGCAAAGACTAATTCACTACTTAAGTTACATGTATACTTTGACAAGTTAAGACTAGAAAGTACATTTATTTGTCTTCCATCACAGAAAACACAAGCCAGATACAAGAAGAATGGGACCACATTGAATATACTCACCCCCATTTAACATTGCTTTTCACAATCTGACTATCTAATTGCAAAACCACATAAGGATCACTTGTTCCCTGAAAGCAGAAACTGGGCAACACATGAGAGCACTTAAAACATAGATTTTCTAATCCCTAAAAAGTGACCAAATGGTGCTGCATATATAGATGTAAATGTATAAATATTTCATCTAAAGGAAAGATATGCAAAAGAGTGGTTACCCATGGATCCATGGCAGGAAAATCATAACCCATCTTAAGCTTTATAAACACCTGGCCATCATAAATCTTACGAAGAAATGATCTGTTGATCATAAACCTATAAAATAATAAAATAGTGTAAAAGAATCCTTTTTTTAATCATCATGATGTAATTAAAATAATACATTTATCTAAAAGAAAAATTAGACGCCTCCATATTCAGAATATGAATATAAATCTCTCGCTAGGAGGAAACATGTCATTGACATTCCACGAGAGAGCTTCAAAACAAAAAACAAATAAAAAAAATCAAGTTACTCCGGATATTATAAAAATTAGCGTTAAAAAATGCAAGAAATAGCAACATACTTTTCTTTATTTTTGTACTACAGAATTCTACTTCCATTTCTTTGAATCTATTTTGACTGCATCTTCAAGAGATACAACATCCTCCTGCTTATGGTTGCATGGAAAAGAGGCAAAACAATTAAAAATAAATATAATAGCAGAAAAAACAGATCCATTAGAAGAAAAAGAACACATGGTAACCAACCTTCCAATGTAACTATGTACCATGAATAATTTCCTGAATTCAAGCCTTGAGAGAATCATTGCCTGGTCGCTTATGTAATAGCTTGAAGAATCAGTATTACAGGCATTTGTAGGCCCGAAATAGTACTAGTTTACATTTAATTTCACCTACATATGTATTTTATTGCATTAATGAACGATTAGCAAGAGCTCTGTAACATTAAGGTAGTTATGCCAGTTTTCAAGCTCTGTAACATTAAGTGGCCTAAAATGATAATAAGGTCTCCTGATGGCTGTTTCAAAATCTATGATTTTAGAATCAAAATCCTTAGTTTTTTTTTATAAAGCTCTTCTCTAAGGGAAATATAGGTCTCCAACTCTTTAGCTTCTGTTAATCCATCATTCCGATGGATCTCACCCTCACTTTCTTGATTCTTGAATTCCCCTTTTGCCCTTGCTGCAACTTCAAGTTCTTCAACTGTTCTCAGTTCTGATAAAGGGCGACTAGCAACTAATTACCTAAAGTTGTCAAAAGTAAAAAAAAAAAAAAAAAAAAAAAAAAAAAAAAAAAGTAGAATGAAAAGATGTGGCTTGACTAATTAAAGAAAGATTGTGTTGAAAAAACATATATCAATCATCACCTGTTGAAATACCGATCCAACTGCTGATTAGGAATCTCCAATATCCGTGTGTAAAATCATGGCAAGATTCGACCATTTCTATAGTTGATACTCATATTCAATGTATTTATCTAAAAAAGAAAATGAAAGATAATCAGTTCCAGCATAAGCTAGACCCCTTTCAAATAGCCTGAAAAGAACACCATAAATGAAATATTTAGTTATATTAACCACATATTATGGACTACAGTAATAGCTATAATGTCCCTGTATGCAAAATAGCTCCATTAAATGAGCATGACACTTTCCAAATGTACACACAAAACTGTCATATTTGGAGAGTGTGCAATGCAAGATTTAGTGGCATGTCGCATTTCGAGACTACCATATGATAAAATAAATATGGAAGTTAATGAAAAGCTTGTTGTCACTCTATACAGAGGAAAGCTTGAATTAAATAGTCCAAAGTTAAAACATTATTCATTTTTGGTCCTTATTTTTAAGATTCATAAAAATCAATGTCAAACCCTGAAATAAGTACCAAAACTAAAAAAAAACATTTCAATTTGGACTAAACAAAGTAAGAATCAGAAACCATAGGGACCATTATTATAAATTAGAGATACCTTATAATATTGTAGGAGCTGCTGCCTCTTTAGTTTCAACGTGGGGGTTATCAACTCCCTTTCAAAGTCAAACAGAACTGGCTCCAAATGAACCGCTTTCAGCTTCTCAAAACCACGAAGTTGTGTACCCAATTTATTTTATCACCAACCAAAATAATAAAACAACAAATTATAACAAATTTCATATTTAATTTAAATTTGAACTTACTTTATTTTTCTGAACTTCAGAGTTAAGCGCATCAAGGACATTTTCTAACATTCGAGTTGTTTCACAATGAAACAAAACCCCCTGATTCGCCATTCTTTGATTCCACAAGTGAGATTGTCAACCCAATGATTCATTGAAAACTCGATTTGCATGGAGTATGTAGCTACATTTGTCAAACCAAAAGATGTTGCTATATGCTGATGATCTGAAAATCAATGAATGATTAAACAATTTTTACTAATCTGCAATAACATAAAAGATTTGAAACTTACCTGTCCAGTAAGAAGAAGGGTATCAGCAGCTAGCAAACATGCCATGATGGAATGGAATCTGGAATTCTAGTTATATGAGTTTTAAGTGCTCTAAAAACTCACCTGATTCCTTAATTCAGTTATCTGGGGTCATTTTTCCAAGTTTTCTCCTGCATAACAAACATATCATAAAATCACTCATATATTATTCATTGGTATTTTAAGCATTTGGTAAATAAATCCACGGTCAAATATTCAATGGATTAAATTATCCACTTCATTTTTTGTTATTTTTACTTTATTTCAACTTTATTAAGGTCTTCTACTTCATATGAATCAAGGAAAAACCTCCTGTGAACATGAGGTTTCCAGCTTCGAGGCCTAAGCAAATTAGATATCACTTGCAATGATAATATTGGTGATAGTATTTACTCTTGAACCACAATAATTAAGCAAGGTATTATGTTAGATAAATAAAAAAAAAAACCTAATAAATAAGGTGCAGAGTAGTTATAAGAATTATCACACTTGTATACATGATTTTTATAATCTATGAACAGAAATAAGATACAAAAACCATGACATTGCAAATCAATTAAGAACGAAAGTCAAACTATAGAACCTATTGCAAGATGACATTGCAAAAGAATTATGCCACATTAAGATGCCTGGTATGTTTTTATTTCTCAGAAATGTAAATAACTTGTAAATAAAAAATTCATAATTTCTAATGAAAAGTTCATATTTTTGCTACCATTGTCTTTAGATCTGATATGCTACTACTTCTTTGTCATCTTGGGCTTGAACTTTTACTGGTATATCTTCTTTGTTATCCTGTGATTTGTGTAACTATAAAAGCATATACCTTTAAGGCTTTGAGGAACTTTGCAGTTCCACTTTGGGCAATTGTTCCAAGAGAGTCAACTAGTTCTTGGTGAGTCATACCAATACCAAAGTCCCTGAATACACATATGGAAATTAGCAAATTTTCAATTAAATTTTATTTTAATTAAGATTCTTAACTTACTGAATGGTAATTATTCCATTTTCTTGATCGGTTTTAATACATATGTCAAGTTCTAAAACACCCTCCAAAAGTTGTTGATCAGTAACACTAAGGAATAGAAGCTTGTCCAAGGCATCACTTTCAGTTTTAAACATACTAGGTTCCCAAAGTCAAAGTGTACCTCCTAGTCTTACCCTTCTATTCACAAAATCATTGTGTCACAAAATCATTGTGACACTCTCCTCACATACCCAATACAACATACTAAAGAAAGTGAATGACCATTTTACCCTTGTATCTGCAAAACTACTAAATCTAATAGAAACATGGGTAGAACGGGAAATGCAACATCTTGATGCATAGAGTGAGCGACACCCATTATGCCATTACTAAAGAAAGTAAATGAAGTGTCTGAATGTGAGTAAATGACCATTTTACCCTTGCATTCACAAAACAAAGTGCTACTATTACATGATGCTAAATGTATTCAAGTCAAAAAGAAACGAGCCTTTAGTCAACTTACCAATCTCATTTCCATGTGCCATGTCAACGGCATTAGCTTGGTCAACAACAGTCTTACTTCTGATTCAAATTTGAGTAATTAAATGAGTCAAACCTCATTTCCCAAGATTTTATTAAAAAAAGGATTTCCATGACTAACCAGTTTCATTTAAATTGAGCAGAAGTTGTTCCCTTGATGGAAGAGCACATATTCTTGCAGAAAATGCAGTTCTAATATCCCATGAATGATATGTCGCACACACTTGTTGATATGCTGATGAAGCTGCATCTTTTAGGGAGTAATCGCTGAATCATCACCACAAGAATATGCAATTAATAACACTAGAATTAATAAATACAATCATGTGTAATAAGTCATAAGAACATACTTGTTTTATAGAAAATTATGGAATAATTCTCAAATTAGGTCAAGACCCTGTCTAACTCTGTGAAGATTATGAGTATGGTTACCACGTGACTTCACTGTCTTCCATTTTACATCATAATCAACTACACTGCTTAAACTCACATGGCGTTCTGATACTTCTTCTAGATCACGGACCTGAAAACCAAATAGAGGATTTTGAATGAAGAGCACAGAAACGAAAGAACACAGAAACAAAAGAACACGCATCACAAAAAGGCTTTAATTTCAGAACAGGAAAATCGCCATTTCTTCCATCTATAATCAAATTCAAAATTTCCTCAAATGCATCCGCGATTGAAAAAAGAGAGGTTCGTGTTCCAGTGTCTTCAAATTCATCACCTCCACTATAATCCATCCTCTTGGAGTTGCTCCTGAGATCAAACAATTTGAGATAAGCAACAAAACGCAGTTTCCAAATCAATATCAATTGCAAAAACTAAACACAAATTGTAAGAGAAATCGCGTCTGCTCAGATCAAGATATGCCCCAAAAGCGTATGATATTTGTCGGATAGATTTGGGAGGTTGATGAATGTAAGATTTGCAATTGCTCTGAAAACAAGAACAATTCAAGAGCAGGGGATCACAGGGAGAAATTTGGGAATAACTTTAATCGTACAATGCAAATTTGAATCACGAGCTTAAAACAACAAATTTAGGGAAATTCAAGAAGTGATCATTTGATATCAGCAGAAGAACCCTAGCTTTGATCGTACAATGCAAATGTGAGAAATGAGTTAGTGAAACTTTGGAATAACTTTTAAGTTAGCCGAGTTAGGAAGCATCAAATGCTTGTTGTCTCGATTAGATTTGGAAGTAATAGAAAAGAACCCAGTCGCATTCGTTTTCTCCGCCGTTGACGACGGTTTATGGAGTCGATGATGTCATCGTGTACTGCGATGTGGCGTTCCGATCTTGAACCGACATCTTCAGATGGAGGAAGTGTTTGCTTAGGCACTTCGAACTCTTAAATATTATCAGGTTCGATGCTGGTGGTGGCGGCTTAGGGCTTAGAGAGAAAGAGAGAGAGACGAACTGCTTAAAGGATAATTAGGGCTTTTTGGTAGAGGATTTTAGAAGAAAAAGAAGGAGATGTATCGGCGGGCCGTTCAATTTTTTGGTATTTGATTTCCTCCCTAAGAGAATGCGCCTTCCTAAAGAAAAATATAAAGCGACAGTTTTAGACGACACGCTTTTTTATGATAGGTGCCCCCCGTGTTTTTTATGTTTTTGTTGAACACTATTTTTTGGGCGCGCACAAATGCGTGTCCTCTATTCTTCAAATTTTTCAAAACTGACATTACTTTTTAGGGAACGCTCATATATGCATCCTCTATCAGCGAGTGTCATTGTTTGCGCGTCATTAAAGAGCTGTTTTCTAGTAGTAGGAAGCCATTTTTGATCTTTGTGTGGGTGTTTTTGCAAGAAAAAGGTGGCCAAGGTAAGAGGAAACTAAAGAGGGTGCTAATCTGTGGATTTCGAAGCTTAGGGACTTCATCTTGAGGTAAATGTTCGATCCTTTTTCAGTTTTGGTGTAAGTTTTGAGAGTTAGGGTTTCTAGCCCCTTTTTGAGTATGATTTGTGAAGCAAATGGTCCCTTCTTGCCTTGAGGCTTCGAATCTAGATCCAAAGAGGTCCATAGACCTTTAATCCTTGATCTTTATTGAGTGTCTTTGAGAGATATGAGTTTTGGATGGCATGTAGAGGCCATTTCATCAAATAGAGACATAGGGTCTTTGCATGGGCATCAAGTTCCAAACTCTATGTGTTTATTATGATCAAGGAGGGCGGATATATGGGTTAGAGGAACAGATCTGACCTCAGGAGGTCATTTCTGAATAAGCATCGCATGAACTCGCCGAGTCCCAAGAACAGACTCGGCGAGTAGGGCTAGGGTTTCCCGTAAGTCACTCAGTGAGTAACTTGTCGAGTTGGGGAATGACTCAGTGAGTCAGAAGGGGGTAGAGGATTGAAGGTGGAACTCGTCGAGTTCATAATGAACTCGATAAGTAGAGTCGGGGTGGCCCCGCGATTCATGTCAGGTGTAACCCGTCGAGTAGGGGAAAGGCTCGACATGTCATGAGAGGCTAGAGAGATAGTGGACACATGTAGAAACACCGAGTCACCCAAGTGCACTCGACGAGTTGGGTCAAAGTTTGACTGTTGACTATGTTAACTTTTAGGGTTGGTCAACCATGGGGTCTTTGAGTCAAGAGAGGGGTAAAATGGTCTTTTACCCTCCTAAGAGTGCTAAGGGAGGGAATGGTCTAGTCTTGGAAGTTGTTTGGATACCGAGTGTTTATTTTCATATGATTAGGCGGAAGCTAGATCCTATTTCTCGGAGGCCGAGATTCCGAGTTACCAAGCTACACGAGGTGAGTCTTCTCACTATACGTTACCTAGAGTGGTATTATGAGTTGACTGGAAGGTCTTATGTGTTATGTATGAGATTGTGTCCCATGTGTGAGATTATGTGCTATGTGATGTATGTATGTTATATAATTGTATAGACCGGACCGAAGGGTCCAACGATTCAGACCGGGTCGGAGGGCCCAACGAGCTATGACCGGACCAGAGGGTCCAACGAGCTACGGGACTGGAGGGTCCCGCTGAGACACATCGACCGGAGGGTCGTACAGTAGCCTCGAGTGGCGTATGTGTTTTATGTAGTATTTTGGGGAACTCACTAAGCATTTATGCTTATAGTTGTTGTGTTATGTGTTTCAGGTACTAGCGAGGACCGTGGGAAGGCGCCGACATGAACCATACACACCAAGAGGAGATTTGATTTATGATCTTGGGAACATGTTTGATTAATAACTATTGTGAAACACTTTTTGAGAATGTTTTATATTTATAATATGGTTGTTGAAAAATGAAAATTTTGTTTTGAAAATCTCGTCATTACAAAAACCTTTCAAAACCACATCAGAATAAGTTTCCGAAGAAGCAATTAATTTATCAAGCTTATCATTAAGACTCTTTAAATGTTGCCTTGTCACCGAAGCATCATCATCATCGTCACTTGGAAGCCGATAAGGACTATAGTAAGTAGAGTCCAAATCAAAGGTATCACCACCAAGAATAGGTTCAGATTCTGTTGAAGGAAATGGTGATAGAGGTTTAGTTGTAATCGGGGTTTCGGTTGTAACAGGGATTTCGGTTGTGATAGGGGTTTCGGTTGCTCTGGTAGGTGCCCCCGTATCAGATATGTTGATAGGAACCGGAGGTTCGGTTGTAGTGGTTGGTGTAGCTTGAGAAAAGATTGAAGGTGGAAGTGGAGTAGTAGTAGTAGGTTGAGAAGAGACAAGTGGTGGTAAGGGAGCAACAGAAATTGGTGTTGTAGTAGTTTTCGGAGAAGGAGGAGGAGTGGGGACCAGAAATTGCAGGTTGTACCTCAGGAGTTGGAGATCGTGGAGATGTGTTTCACCTTTGTAAGTCTTCAACATGAACCTCTTCTTCCTTATCTGAGTTAACAAGCGAAGATGCCTTTGGTTTTCTTGCCATTTTCTTGACCTTTTTCTTTTTCGGAGAGGAAGGAACTACTTTATCAACTTTACACTTTTTGGTTTTCTCAGCAGGAGATGACGGACCTTCGGTATTTGTTTTCTTTGGTTCCGACTTCTTACCCCTCTTATCTGGTTTCTCAACAGCTTCCAGAGCAGACTGCATCTCTGGAGTAAGTTGACGTGGCCCTGAAGGAGTCAGCTTTCGATAATCATCCATAACACGATTCGCACTGGAAACACAGCGTGTCATTGTTTCAGGAATTGATCCGTTGAAGGAGAACTTGGTGGGATTAGAGACAATGATCTTTGTCGTGTGAAATTTGACGATTGAAGACAACATTACATCTGCCATGACCAGACCCTAAAAACATGCTTGATTGCCCTGTGAGTCACCAAAGTCCAGAATCTTCCATACGAGATTTTTGAGTGTTTGGACGATGAGTTGAGACTCTGCACCCTCTGAGACCATATCAGAGATCCATAGTCCATATTGATGCCATGATAGAGACCATATAGAATGGTCATGAAACCATTACTGGCACCATCTGATCCAATGACTCTTTCAACTAATCCCTTAAATATAAGTGTGACAAGACCATTCCATTGTGATGGTAAGCAGGACTTCTTGAACTTATTGACGGTGTTGAGAACATCAGTGTAACCCATGTCATAAAACATAGAGAAGAGCTGAGTAGTATTGATGAATTCCGAAGAGATAACAGAAGCATCTGATGCAAGCTTTAACAGAGAACATAATCAAGCTTTTAAGATAGATGTCTTGTGATTGAAGATTTCAAAGAAGATCTTGTCCTTGCGTTTGTCATAACAAGATGAGGAATATACCTGTGATAGTAGAGACATAAGAATAGACCCGAATTGAGTTAGTGTAACCACCAATGGGAAATACTTCAGACACTCGCCACACGAAGCATGTAGGAGTCATAGACAAAGGGGTTCAGTTCGATGATCATATTTTGATTTGGTTTGATGGTCAGAAGGGATGAAGTAGCGGTTTGTTCTTGGGCGGAAGAGGATTTTGCCATGGCTGATGAAAGGAAGAAGATGAACAATGTAAATCACTTGTTGTATTCTTTGAGAGATTTGGAGGTGATGAGGAGGTACAGGATGTGCAAGAAACCTTTTTATACTGTTGCCAAGAGAGAGAAAGAAGCGGATGTGATGATGATACGATCCCTAAAACGGCACCTAAAAAGCGTGATTTGACAGCTGGATTTCCCTAGATATACGTCACTAGGAGTGGGTTTAGGAACCGTTTCAAATTCACGCGCCTATTCAAAGTCTTATAATGTGAGTCATGTGGAATCCTTATCCATTTACTATTTCTTCCAATTTGAAAATGTTTCAAATTCCCTTATAGACAGCTAGAAAACGAGACTCATTTGTTCTTGTCAAGTGCTTCAACCTTCGCCCCATAATGAAGTGAACCACCATTTCTTTTAGAACCAAAAGCACAAATTTGAAAAAGTGTTATGATGACCACAAACAAGAGTTTGGAAAATCATAGAGATCTTCGTGCAAGTGTGTGCCAAAGAAAAGAAATAAAGCAAGATGTTTTTGGGATATAAGTGATGTCAATGAAGACATGAAACGAAGGATCTCGAGCACGAATCTCGTCCTTCAAAGTCAAGAGAGACTTAGAAGTGTCTGTGTGGTTTCCCATTGAAATACGATCAAATGTTTATTAAGGGACATTGAAAGGCATTTTTATTTCAAATATAGGCTTTAACGGGTGGTTAATCTTCATCTGAACTTTGATACTTAAAATAAGACCAAGAGTAGGACAAAGTACTTGTGAGACCGATGTGGCCTGTTAAACAAGTACGTTTGATAAATATATAATGACTAGGTGATTATGAGAAATCTCAAAAACAAAAATGAAACTGGATCTTATGGGAAGAAACATCTTAGTTGTAAACAATTTTATAAAGACCACTCAAAAATAAAAATAGATTTCTTCGAGGTAACAAGTAATAGCTTTAACATTTTAGCGCTCACCGTCAATTCACAAAAGGTGTTAGATTTTAGGTCTCACTTAGCACGTGGTGAACATATCTAAGATCATCAACACAGATGTTGTGTAACCATAAACCTCAGTGGTAAGTGCTGAGAGTCTTAAGGATTACGGTTGTGGAGCGAAAGTAGATGGAGAAATGTGATAAGGTGGTTAAGGAACCGAAAGTACCTCTGCTATTTAAGAATGACAAAGCAGGAAACTCTTAACTCAATGTGAGAAGAGTAACGTAGCTCATGACTAGAGTGAATGTAGTAGCCTAATTGGGAAGAAACGATGGGTTTCATTCAAATCATTAAG